GTTGAGTAGTCTTCCGTTTAAAAAATAAAGTATGATAGGAAGTCTGCGACGTCGCAAGCCGAGTTATGTGATTGCCAACTTACACCTTCGATATTTAATTTAACACAATACACTGAAAAAAATATGCCGGTAGATTTTACCATCTCTGACACAGTGATACGAATATGGTAATAAACACCAGACTCTATGGTGGCATTTACCATACTATGGTAAGAATCACCAGAGTTCTGGCGAATACTACTATAATTCTGGTTATTTCCACTAAATAGTATCACTGTGTAAAAAATCAAGTAGACTCATAGTAAATGTCACCATACTTTTTTTTCAGTGTAGGGCACAAAAAAATGCCTGCTCCATCCTAGAATACCCGTTTCATTTTTCGTAGGGAATATTTCGGGTTCGAAAAATTGAATGTAATGAATTCTGGAGGCTTTCTTCGTTCACATCTGGCAGAAGAAATAATAAGTTTTTTAACTTTGCAATAACTCTCTCCCCCCATCTGAAGTATAAAAGAGAGTCACTAAACTATTTAAAGAAATGAGTCGAGCGCGGTGCACGGTCGGGTCCTTAAAAGATTCTCTTTTGGTGAAATGAATTCAGAGAAAAGGAACCAAATGCATTTTCAGGTGTTAGGAGTTCTTCCAAGCAACCACAGAATAGACCACTTGCTTCCTAAAAGCTTGGTTCCTCCAAAACTAAGAGGATAATTCAAGCATGGCGCAATGCGTGAAGTAGCCCTTTAGGTTTACAGGCGTCAGTGCGCGCTTCGCGCTGGCAGCACGCCGCGGCTCTTCCGGCAGTATGCAACTCAATTCATTTTATCTTTAGATCAATGTCTGATGACCTAATTGATAGACTTTAAAAAATGCACCAACGACGGCTTCCGAGTGCAATTTCTTAAGAATTAAAAACACCGTGCCTGGCACAACTAATAACCCTCGTCCAAGATACCACTATTCGAACGCTGCTGCGCGCGATTGGTATCACGCCCAAAATGAAGGCGCACCTCGATGGCATCGCTCCTCGCCGGCAAATGTCACTGCTCGGAGTCGAGATAAAACGCTCGACTTTTACGCCTTATCGCAAGAAGTATCCAAATCGTCATTCGTAAAAACTCCTATCCGCGCAGAGGAATCGATATCAGATACGACATTTCCGAAATAAGCCGAAACAGTCGATTTCATTTCCGATAAGCGCCGTCCAAATGTCACCGCCCGGAGGACCGAGGTAAGACGCTCGCCCTTTCCGAGAAAACCGGGAGGGGGAGGGGGTTGGGGCGTGACGGGCAGCCCGGGGCCGATAAAAGAGTTTAAAGATTAATGCGAAAATGAAGGGACGCTATCTAAAATGTAATCTGCCGGAGCTTTTAGCGGTATCCGCGAAATAATATCTGGAACAATGGAGTCGAGTCGATGATTTTCGTGTTGCGGGGAACGTCGAGAGTTACGCTCTTCAAAACCGCGTATGTCCAATGCCGCCCCTGTACGGTTGCGCGGTTTTTGCGGAGCACGGCGCGGTCGGTATTGGCTTCTGCCCTCGGGCGCTGCGCTCTCCCGTTTCCACCCCCGTGTTTATCCTCGTCCCTTCTGCTTCCCCCCGCACCCTTTGCTCTCCCCTACCCACCCCCCGCGTTGTCCCTGGCGTGTGGTTTTCATTTGCGTTCGGGAGCTCATCAGAGGACCTCTGTGGGGAGTCGATAGTCGATACTCGCCCTAAATGCCGCATGTATCAATGCGCAAATCGCTCTATCAGGGCGTCCTTGCGCCAATTGGGGTAGCAGCGGCTGCTAAAAATCAATCTTTGAATGCTCTTAAAAAATGATAAAAATTGCGAATTAATTAATCAGGGTGGTTTCAAATAAAAGATCAAGAGCTCGTGACGGCCTTTTTTGGCTCTAATATTCGAGGTGTTTAAAGTTAGTATCTACAAAAAGCAGTGAACTCCAACACAATGTGTTGATAAGGCGCGTCATTAACTCGCACATATCAACCCCTTTAGTTTTCATTTACAGAGATTTCAAAAAAGGCAAGCAGCACAACAAGAGAATTCACGATCCAACACTGCAAGGTCAACGACGCACCTTTACGAGACCGTGTATTGTGAATCTAGAAAGCTATTCGAACAAATTTAAGTTTTTTGATCTGCCTCAAGCAAAATCTTTTCAGATTCTTGAAGAAAAGTGCTACGGAAAAATTTAAGCGAAGAAAGGAAAAATTCTGTCGAACTCCTAGAAGATAAAGTCGATTTAAAGGTATTTTGGGGCTAAAATACCCAAATCACCGGTATTATAAATCCCGTTATATTATTGAAAAGAAATTGACTCGATATAAATGCAATTGTCTTAAATATGTCTTGATTTTGTTATTTTAAACGTCTTTTCATGCAAAGAAGCTCAACCATGTCCATGCTTTATTCATTCATGAATTGAAAGTAAGCAATCCACATCCCGAAAATCTACCGATTTGCCGTAAAAAATCGCAGAAACTTGATATACCAGGTCGATGTACCCACTCTTTGAATTTACCAATCAATTTAGTGAGTGCACGTATGTGAAAGTCAAAATGCTATAGTCATTTTGGGTGCATTCATTTTTCATGAAACAATTGTAAGTAATTTCAATCCCGAAAAACCATAAATTTTCCGTATAAAATAAAAAAAATCAAAATATGTCGACTCCCTGACGTGAAAATTAAATTCTACGTGTGAAAATACTTATGTATCGATATGCTGAACAGAATGCCCGCCTCTCCTCGTAATTTACAAACCGTTCCTATACTCATCTCAAAATTTTTCTCAGAGCTTTGTGTTATTATCAGCTTCCATTTAAACCCCGGTTTGATGGCCGAATCGGCTGCCCAAAAAGCAAGCCATTTTTGAAGGGCTCTATGAGAAATTCGTGATATTATCAGCTCTCAGGAAATCACCCCATGGGTAAAATTGCTGGTATAAATTTTCGAGTGCTTAAAATAATCGTATTCAAGAAACTAAGGCATTAAACTATGGAGTCAATTTCGTTTTAATAATATAACGGGATTTACTTGTCTTCAGGTCAAAACTCATACAAGAAAGCCCCTTGCAAGAGGCTAATTTTTTGTAATTTCACTCAATTTTTTCTCCTTTTTATAATTGAATTGCTTGTCACATTCTGAGGTCAATCATATTAAATTGTAATTTATACATTTCTTTTTTTCCCCCTTCATTTTATTTTTTGTTTGGAGAAGTTTTGTTGATTTCTTCGGATTTCGAATACTGTAACTTCTCTTCTATTTGGCCGATTTTTATGAATGAGACCTCTTTTAATTCGTGTTTTAACGGAAAGTAAGGAAAAAATTGCTAAAAACTCGCGAAACAATTTTTTTTTAAAATTGGACGAATCCTAGCGTGACGGTGAAATGGTTAATGAAGCGTAAGTAATTGGGCGAGGGGCTGAGGATCCCGGCCTCGCTTGGCGACCGTCATTAGCTATTGTTCGTCGAGACGCCGACGCAGTGATCAGGAGCGTGGGGAAGAGAGGGGTAAGTGGATTCCTGTATGAGCCACGTTTAGCTAATGGTCTAATGAGTCTCGAGGCTCATCACAGATTGCACTTACACAGATTGCACTATCATGAGTGGCGGTAGCCACCACCGGGCAAGTAACCTATCCTCCAACAATTGGCAACACAGCACAGCCCGGTCGAGGCAACGACACCATAGTTACACGAACTTGGCTTATTTGGGTTTTTCAGAGCACGGGTACCAACTTTTGAAAAGTATAACCGAGGTTACAGATCTGTCAAAGCAACGTTTTGAACAAAACGGAGGAGTTAGATTCTCATTCCGAGAGTGCCGACCTGCTCAGCCATCCTCGAATCAATTCGCTTGATTCTGCTTATATATGCATATTTTAAATCAGCGCGTCGCATTCTTAGGCTTTTTTTAAAAAAACCAAGTAACTTAGACTCTTGGTATTCACTGCACATAAACTAGCGACCCCCAGAATGAGAAACAACTTTAAATCATAATTATTGATGGATAAATAAACTTTTTACACGCTTTGGAAAATCTCAGAAGTTCGCGGTAGTCACTTTTCGGTAAGGAACTAAAGGACTCGGTTATTGTATCGAGCAGGGTTCGAAACGATCGCAAAGGCGGTATACTACGTATACGCGCCAAAAAATATTACTTTAAATACCGTTACTTCGAATACATTAACTCCGTTTTAAAATTGTATCGCATTTTAAATGTGTTATTCGTCATCACAAGCTGATCTTTCCATGTTTTCCCCCAGAAAATTGCTACAAATACGTAATTTTTTAACTGAGAACAGAAAGTTGGTTATTTTCTTCCTTCGATGCGCTCAATAACAAATTCACAGTACTCCAAAGGATCAAATGTTTGGTTAAATCGACCAAAACCATGCATTATTCTAGGATAACTAGGGATGGAAAAAGTGTCCTGGTGGACGAATGTACTTTTGTCTCTCTCGGTGTCACTCAGAGGTTGCGACTTGCAAGTAGTGACTAGCTCATGGGACGATTACCGTAATCTTAGTTTTGATCCTGAAGGTTTGCGCCTGACTTTTAAAAAGTTTTCAAATTTTCAATCCAAAAATTCGGTCAATGTAACCCAAAGGAAAACTAACCAAAAAATATGAACCGCACGTTTAAGTTACCTTGTCTTCTAATTCCCATATAACACTGGAAAAAGAACACATTGGATCCAGAGTCCAGACTCTTAAAAACATCGACAAGAAAAAATACTCTTGATTCGATCAGATTTAAGCTTAAATCAAGAACCAAGCCTCTTAATTTGAGTGGATTTCCTTTTGATTTAAGCTTAAATCTGATTGTATCAAGAGTCCTTTTTCCTGCCAATGTTTTCAAGAGTCTGGACTCTAGGTCCAATGTGTTTTTTTTTCCATTGAATAATAACACAACATTTTGATTACTTTTTCTGACTGTGAGTTTTTTTTCTTTTTTTTCAAAAAATCCCTAATTCGTCCCTTTTTGTGTGTTTCAGCGCCGTATCATCAGCCAGAGCCTGGTCTTTGTCCTCGCCTCGCTGGGTCTCCTTTTCCTCTGCCGCCTCCACCTGATGAGCTATCGGTTGCCGACCTTCGCGACGGCCGACAACCCGACCGCTAAGGAGCCCCGTCTCCTTGTCCGCCTCCTCACATTCCTCTACCTCCCAATTTTCAACCTGAAACTCCTTCTCCTCCCGAACAACCTCAGCTTCGACTGGTCCATGGACGCCATCCCCAGGATTAAAACCCTCTTCGACGTCCGGAACCTCTACACCGCGGCGTTCTACACAGCCTTAGCGATGATCGTCCGCAAAGCGACCAACAGCCTCAGGAAAAGTGACACGCGGTGCAACGCTAGTAATATCTGTGATACGCGGACTAGGTACTCGCCGCAGAAGAAGTGCGCGCAGTGTAACGAGTCCGTCTGCGGGCTGGAGGACTGCGGGTTCCACGCCAACAACAACACGATCCACATCAACAGGAACTTCCCATCCGGCCCGCAGAGCTTCGGCTCGAACGCGTACGGGAAAGTGTGTTTCCAAAGTTCCTCGCTGCGTTTCTCGCGCAAGAGTGAGGTGGTGCTGACGGTGTTGGTTTTCCTAGTGTTCCCGTTTCTGCCCTCGTCGAATTTGCTCTTCTACGTGGGCTTCGTCCTGGCCGAGCGGGTGCTGTACATCCCGAGTCTGGGGTTCTGTTTGGCCGTCGCGTACGGCTTCCACGTTCTGTCGTCCAGGACTAACCGCAGGAAGGCGAGTTTCTGTTTCGTCGCGCTGTTGGTCGTCTTGAGTGCGCGCACCGTTCACCGCAACCGGGACTGGTTCGACGAGGAGGCCTTATACTCGTCCGGTGTTTCCATCAATCCGCCCAAAGGTGAGGCTCCAAATTTACATTTTAAATTTTTTCCAGAATAGTCTTTTTTTTTTTTTTTTTTTTTTTTTAAGCTTGTCTGGTATGATCACGTGCAACGGATGCCAGATGATAGGTTGCCTAAGAAGGTTCTGGATTGGGTCCCCCGTGGCAGAAAGCGTCGAGGACGCCCTGCCAAATCGTGGATTGAGGGAATAAGGCAGGAAATGAGGAGATGCCATCGGCCGGAGGAGCTCTGGCAGGATCGCTATCAGTGGCGGTTGAGTGTCGCAGAGCGCACAGAAGCGCTATAAGTGCGATTTGTTAGTTAGTCAGTTAAATTTTCTCTAGCATTTTTACACTCCCCCCCCCCTCAGTCTTGTACTGGCACTCATTAGAGCAAAACATCTTTTGACTGTAATTGAAATTTTTTTTGGAATTTCTTAGCTTTTTCCCCCGTGCGAAATAGTGTGGACCCAGCACCATTTCTCAACATTGTTTTAAAAATGGTGACGCCATCTGGTAGTATTTCCCATTTAAACACTTACATTTTAGCAAATACGAACATTTAGTCATATCTCTTCCAATATTTTTCAGTTCATGAACCAAGTTCATCCTCATGTTCAGTCCACTCAGTAGTTTCCACTTGAACACGAAATTTATCAAATTTCAGACACCTGATTATAGGTATATTTGGAATTTTATAGGGTTTTCATATACGTTCATCAAAAATTGTGTTTTTGCAAGATCGGGCTAAAAAAACCTGCAAAAACGAGAAAATTTGAAGGCCGTATGCCACCATTTCTTCAAAAAGATTCTGATAATGTATTTTCTAACCCTTCAAGTTTTGACTAAAATTTGCTGTTTTTCTTTCTTTCTGCCTCATGGGCGTAAAAAAATACAATTCCATGCAGATAAATCAATCCAAAATTTGCGTGGAACTTTAGATGACCTCCATTTAAGACGCAGCTCTCCTAATCTAGAGCAGCAGTCAACATACCGTCTCTTATTGAACTCTTTATCAGTTGCAAAGGAGGAGGGTGTTGATATTATATCTGTTGAAACATCATCATTGTTGTTATTGGTTTCATTTGAAAAGTCGCACCATTTCTTAAATCCCTGCGAAGGTATCAGATAGGGGTGGCTCTTCCAATTAAATTTTAGCTATTTGTCCTTGTAGTGTAATATTTAAAACAAAACGGTAAAGATTGGTTCCCTTTCAGTCTGGGAGGCAGGGTGTTTTGAGGATTGGCCGATGAACTCCCAATGATTCTCAAGCGACTCCCTACTTTGCCTCAGTCAGAATTTATAACAGCCAGTTTTGGCATCACTGTTTTAATGCGATTTCATAGTAAGCCTGCAACAATCTTGACTGATATACTGATTCCCTTCAACATAGCGTTTTCTTTGTATTTGAAGCGTTTCCTGCAAGAGAGTCCATTTTACGTCATATTTATACTCGGATTAAGTCGAACCCTCTGTTTCCATCTAATGTTATTATTATATACTTTCGAAAGGGCAAAAGCTGTAAAAATAATTTTAGTGTCTACCTTTGTTGTTGTGAAAGCTCCTCTAGAGACGCTTTTCCCGAGAAATAAAGAAGGAGAAGAAAAATAGTGAGGTGAAGAGTTGCGGAAGAAGGAAAACGTAAAGAGGAACTTATTTCATTTCAATGGGAGGCTACGCCCCAGGACCGCTTTGCGGTCACCCCCCCCCCCCCCCCCNCCGAAATGATTCGTGTTTTAGGCGGTATACGTTATTCGTTACTCTTATAATTTTATATTATGGACTTTAATTTGTTTTCGGAGGGAGATCCAACCTAATGGCTTGAAATTTTTACGTAATATTCTTATTCACCCAGAAATGGAATACCAAGAAAGTTTTCGAGAAACTATATTGTAAAATTGTCCATATTAAAATAAATATTATGACAAGAATTTGACAACATCGTAAAACGAGGTACATGCGTTTTATGTTTTACTTTCGAGGTGAGAAATTTATCACCTGCTTTCCTAGCTAAACCTCTTGATCGGAAAGTAAATAATCTAATTTTACATCTTTTGAGGAAGGGGTAGAAAAAGCCAAACTGTCCTCTAATTCTCTATGGAACTTCAAAGCATTCAAGACGTGAATATTGCAATGGAAGAATGATTGTCTATTCCGAATCCTGCAGAAAACGCTAAAATATTAATGGTTCCATAAAAATAAGCTTACAAACTGTTTCAAGGCTCCAAAATTTGAAATTTAAGTTGAAAAGTAAGAGGACGCTCTTGAAACAAGAGTAAAAATAGATCCGAACTCTATGACGATCGTAAAGCTAAAAAATAACAATGTTGTTCAGTGGTCATAAAAACGCTTTTTAACGCGATGTCATGATGTCATATCGTGATCCCATAAAGCCAAGCATTTAAGGGTGTGTGCCATATTTACGTCAATTTTTTAGTCTCGAATATGTATAGATATCTTAGTTATCTTACTTATAATATAAAATCCTAAGAGTATCGCGTTACGCATAAGACTGCAAAGCAGTCAGGGTTCTGTCACCACTACAAATAAGTCAAACAGAAACAAGCACAATATGGAAATAAAGCAAGAAAAGGGATGCCCGATGACGGCGCAGCGATACAACTATTCGTGCTCGATGGAGGTCCGTGTTGCGTCCGCAAAATTGAAGGCGCGATGCGGCGTGAGGCGTGAACTTGCAATGCTCCGCTGTATGCTACCAATAGAAGTTCGCTCAGATTCGGAAAAAAAACCTATTAAACGAGGCCCACTTACGTTTCTCCTATCTCCGGCTGCGTTGACATTCGATTTTTTCTTTTATTTCAATGTAACTTCTGATTGAATCAAGAGTATTTTTTCTTGTCGCTGGTTTTAAGAGTCTGGACTCTAGATCCAATGTGTTTTTTTTTTCCAGTGTGATAAAAGCGTTTTTCTACCCTGAACGTTCGAAAGGAGTGAAGGGATTACCCGAAGCCGGCGAATCGGCAGCATCGCCCGTAAATGTTATTTATTCCGTCTCCTCTCTCGCCGGTGGCAAACACGTCGGAGCGCTAGGTACATTTTGTCTCCGAATGCTCGCAGTGCAGTCGGGGCCGGGGCGGCCGCATGCCTTAAATTTTCAATCGATCGGCCCCAACGACGTTATAAATAGTTCCCAAAGGGAGCCGTATCGGGAATCGGGCCGGCGCAATTTATGGAGCATGACAAATTTAATCCTCTTATCATTTGGATTCCGGTGCCGGAAAAACTAATCTTATCCGGGAGCAAGGCGCCCCCCCCGCCCCCCGCCCCGATGTAAGAGCTCCTCTGTCTTCTCCACCGGATGAAAATTGCCCGGAACAGATGCTTCGCGCTTTTAGGGCCGTATTAGCGACGCTGCGCACAGTGGATCGAGTCAATCATTGGCGTGGCGTGATTTGCGACATATCGATTGTTATGCCATTTAAACCTATGGAAAAAGATAAATAAACATGGGCGTTAGCAGCGAACACCTTAATAATCGATTCTTTGCCATAGGCTTAAATGGCATAACGATCGATTTATCGCAATTCACGGCACGCCACTAAAGTCAATAGGAGAAGTCGGACCAAAGGGAAATTTAAAAGCTTCTAACTCCGTTTATATACAAATTTGAGGTTCTGAAAGTGGGTCCATTAGTTTTCTCGTGAAATTTTCTTCGAAAAGCACTCCTTACAGTTTAAAATGTGACGAAATAAACATCAAAATTCGCAGTTATTGTTAAAAATTTCGCGTCCGACCTCTCTGATCGACTCGATCCACTGTGCGACGCGGCGCGGTCGAGATTGATCAGCCGCGACGCGCGTCGCGACGCCAAGTTAACAACAAATTCTTTCCCCGGGGACAGCGCCGAGTGACAGACTGGAGGGGCGAAGGAGTGGGTAGGAGTGAAGGGATTCGATAAGTGGACTGGCTCAGATTTATTCGAAAAGTTTGGCTGTTTAAGTATGATTTTAGTTAACTGATTGATTATGTGGACGGATCTGTAAGTACGGCAAGAATACAGACCTTTCTTGTGTCAAGAATTTGCGATTGGATGCTTTGACTCCCACGGAAAATGATTCTAGTCCTGGCGTAACCGCGCTCTGACCTATCGGAAGAGAATTCTCTAATTGGAACTTAAAAATTCTTCATTTTTGGTGTAATTTTATTTATTTATTTTTTTTAAAAAAAAAAAAAATAGGCACTGGTAATTATTTTTAGATGACTAATCTTCAACATACCTATTGATAAGGCACACACAATTTTAAGCTGTTCGGGTGGGAAATAATCGAATAAAGGGGGGGAAAAACTGAGGGAAAAAGTCATTTCTGCATGATCTCCCATCCCTAATCTAGGCTTGGAGAGGAAGGTGGGAAAATCTACCTCAGGGGCCAAAGGGTTAAAAACGGAATCCTTTGTCAAATTTCGCAAGAAACAAGATGGTGCTACTGGATTTCTCTGATAAATATCGAAAACTCTAAAAGAAAAACAAGACAAGCCTACAGGCATTACATAAAGCGGAAAAAATAGGAGAAAAAAGGTAGAATTGGTAAATAAATAAAATTGAGAAACTAGATATTGCTTCCCGCCACTAAAAATGGCGCCGATTCCCATAAGGCAGTGCGGGCTTTTACCAATGGATCCATTAGTAACATACCACTAATACGGTGAACGCTCAAAAGGGTTGCCATTTTGTTTGAAAACTCCAAAACTAAAAACACGTTAACCTTGCTAAGGTAGTTGCTTTCTATCTTTGCCTATGAGTTTGACCAAGAGGCGGACTCTCAAAATAACGTTGGTTATCCCAACTATTACGGCCTCAACTTTGAGAGCTTTTGAGTTCGTTTCAGAAAAAAATGGTTTTATCATCGTGTTTCTCGCAAAATTTTACGTAAGAAGATGTATACTTACATCGCATATCCCCTAGACATCATGCAAAACCTCCATTAAGATCGAAGTGACGGATGAGAGAAAGATTCCTTATCGGAGATAGAATGAGCGTTGAGTGAAGAATCTTTCGGAAAGTTGACTGATTTAAAGTTATTCAAAAAGTTTGGTCATTCAAGTGATATTTAATCAACTGATTGATCATCTGAATGAATCACTAAGAGGGCATGAATTAAGATGAAAAAGACAGCCAAGGCAAGGCAGGATTTTATTTAACTGATTGATTATTATCTGAACGAATCACTATCCTAACATGAGGTTTCAACATATATGTATTCGCCTGATTCGTACGTTCTTACCTAAAATCACTTATTAATTTTGTTTCAGCTTATGGAAATCTTGGCTCAGTATTGAGTTCCCAAGGACGGATTCAAGAGGCAGAGAAGGCATTCAGGATGGCCTTGAGCTTTCGACCAAATATGGCGGATGTCCACTACAACTTGTAAGTTTCGCATGAATTCGTCCAAATAAGTTTAATTTTCTTCCATCTAATGTTTTGTCCTCTAAGCATTTCATTTGAGATTTTGACTGAGCAGTCAGTACTTCAAAACCTAAATGGAAAAACCTCCACAGAACGATTCAAAATAGTCCTTTTTTTCAAATAGCAAGCACGTAGCTCTGCTAAATATGAATGTACATTTTTTAGTCAAAATATATATAGAATTAGTTGTTTTACCAAAAGTGATCACAGACGGTGTAAATAAATGTTTTAAAAAATTATTTTAGCGCATATTGCTCGAAAGAGATCAAACGCTGGTTAGTTAATTTTTGCATCGTTATAATGACCTCGATTGACAAATCTCCATCATAGCAATGCGATTTATCAATCAGGATCATTCGGTATCAGTTCAGTAATCCCGCCGAAGGCCCAATATTCGGATTCTTGCGGCAATTGAGCGACAGAAATTTCCGCTTTCATCAATATTACCAACATTAAAATAAAAAACTGACAACACCGCAACACAGACGAAACGGAGTCCTGTGTTGTTTCGACACATTTCCCGTGTAGAAACAACACCGCGCTCAATTTTTCCCAACATTGAGGCTCCATTGTTCCTACAAAACGGGACAATCGGTTCAGGACAAACCACCCCCCCCTTTTTTTTTAATTATTCCAGTGTGTATTACAAGTGCAAATTGTTTTCAACTTCTCCAGTCTACTCGAAGTGATTAACGGCAGCTACGATGTCGGATGATTAGCGACTCCGGAATTGAATGAAAATAAAGCAGGAAAAAAAAATTAATTTATCGCTTTCATCGCAGCACGAAAGAAACTGGAGAGCGGAGCAAAAGCTAATTAGCCTCGCGGAAGGGTTAACGGGGGGACGAGGGAGGGGGTGGTGCAACAAGAGGGATGAAGCGGGAGGGGGTTGGGGGGGGGACCCGGCGGGACTGCAACAATCGTAGCCGATGCGTAACCGAGGTAAACAATGGTTCCCCCGGCGGAGTTTTAATCGGATATCGCAGTTTAATGAAGACGAGCTCCGGCTTAAAACTTTGATAAAATTCCGGGAACGGGCGCCGAGTCCGTGCCGACCTGATTAGGCTAATGAATTTCACGCGAAGATCAGGTTCTTGGACCGAAATGTATAGCCTAATTATGTTATTTACGAGGGGGGCTCAAGGGGGGGGGGGCTCACATCCGAAGTAGATTCATAAGCCCCGAGTTGAAAACCTTGTTTGAGGCTCTTGGCAAGTTGCAAAAAGTCCCACTCGGAACTGCTAAACGACTGAACGACGACGCCACGGCGCCGGTTTTTGGGGGAAGTCGCAGGCGTATCATCTACGGGGTGGTCCGCAGTTTACGATTCCGACCAACGAACTAAGTCCATATCGTTAAATTCAATTTTTAAAAATTATTTTCACAAAAAAAAGTATCTTCTATATCGCTCGAAAAACTTTTTCCAATTACTTTTTGCTCGCTAATTTTTGCAACAGTGAAAAAAAAAAACTCCGGCCGTGGGAGCCGCAATTACGGGCTATGTAGACATACCGTCCGTTCCGGGCGCAAAGGCCGAAAATTGCGGCTGCTGGAGGCGTAGCTTCGATTGCTCCGGGTTCAGAGGCCGAAGCTACAGCTCCAGCAGCCGGAATTTTCGGCCTTTGAGCCCGGAGCGGACGATATGTCTATATATAGCCCGTAATTGCGGCTCCTACGGCCGGAGGTTTTTTTCCTTTTTTCAGTGTACTTGTTACAATTGGACTACATTTTGCAATTTGGAACTATAAATTCTAGCCGGTTTAAAAACAACGTATGTGCCATTAGTTTCCCTACGCACCCAAGTGTTTTTCTAGAAGAGCCAGAATTTATAGGTCCAAATTTCAAAATACAGTACAATTAGTTATTTCCAGGTAGGAGAATTTGCTACATAGGTACTGAATTTTTCGTTCAATATGGTTAGAATCGCCTATAAAATTAGAAAGAATGGGTGGAATTCTTCTTGAATATATTATCATGTCTTTATACGTTGCCAAATCTCCGAGCTGAAATGCAATTTTTCGGGGAAACCAGCGAATATTTTCCTCCCAATATTTAGAACTCTTTGCCAGTGTTTTGATCTAAAGTTACAGAAAACTACAAATAAATACTCATGACTATCCTCAAAAATCAATCATTTGACGGGATTAATTCAGCAATATGCATTAATGTTCATATACGGCGTTTTTGTTTTTTAGGGCAGAAAAGTGTATCGCTGTATTCAGACTACCCTTGCTCTTTATCAACTCCCCGCTAAACACATCGCAAACTGACCGCTAAGCATGCTACAACGATTTAGATGCTCAAGTGGCTCAAATTACATAACTACCGGAATTAAGGCGCACGGAAAAAAAAGATTTCCCGAATTTAAGTAAACGCGTCTACTTGGATTTTTTACTTATTTCAAAGCGGGTTTGACTTGGAAGGAACCAACGGTTTTCTTCATGTAAGAAAACATGATTCGCTTGAGACAAGCGAATCGTGTTTTCTTAAATAAAATAAACATTGTTTTAAAATAAGCCAACTTTTGCTTGAATGAAGAAACCAGTTTCTTTAAAATTAGTAAACGGGGTGAACGCCTTCTGAGTCCGGCCGTTGCCTCTTTTTAAGTCAACAGCATGCTTGGTAGAAGAAAATACGTTGTGTCGAAAGAAGAAACCGGTTTCCTCAAAATTAGTAAACGGGGCTAACTCCTTTCGAGGCGACCGGATGCAATTAGCAATACGCCCGTTGATTTTTTACAATTCAACAGTTTGCTTGGTACAGTGAAACACGTTGCGTTTAAAGAAGAAACTGGTTTCCTCAAAATTAGTAAACGGGGCGAACGCCCTCAGCGGGGGAGGATGCAATAAGCCAGACGCTGTTGCCTTCTTTTAACCCAACAGCTTGCTTGGTAGAAGAAAACACGTTGTGTCGAAAGAAGAAAACGGTTTCCTCAGAATTAGTAAACGGGGCGAACGCCCTCAGCGGGGGAGGATGCAATAAGCCAGACGCTGTTGCCTTCTTTTAACCCAACAGCTTGCTTGGTAGAAGAAAACACGTTGTGTCGAAAGAAGAAAACGGTTTCCTTAGAATTAGTAAACGGGGCGAACGCCCTCAGCGGGGGAGGATGCAATAAGCCGGACGCTGTTGCCTTTTAATAACCCAACAGCTTGTTTGATGAAAGAAAACACGGTACGTCAGAAGAAGAAACCAGTTACCTTAAAAGTAGTAAACGGAGTGAGTCCCTTCCGCGGGGAACGGATGCGGCATGGGACATGTGCGGTTGCCTACTTTCAATATAACATTTTGCTTCGAAGAAGAAACCAGTTTCCTTAAAATTAGTAAACCGGATGGTGACGCCTCCTATGAGAATGATACATGCAATTGCTGCCAGATGCCGTTAGCATCTGCTTAAACCAACACCATTTATGACGGAATAAAAGGAGACGGAAGTTAAAAAATCAAGATGCCCATTATATTTGTCTACAAAATAATTGTTCTTTAGGGAGAAATTCATTTAATGTGTCCTTTGAGAAATCACTCATATGCTCGGCGTCGACAAAAAATTAAATAAATAAAGAAGTAAAGAAGGAGAGGAAGAGGAAATATTTGCGTTGTTTTAAATAGATCGGCACTGTGCATTTGAAGTTTTAATTTTTATTTTTAAATGAAGGGGGCCTCATAAAGAGGACTTAAATACTTAAGTAGATTGAAGCCGGGAGTTTTTTGCATTGCCTCAGTTCAGTTTCATCGGACAATGTATTTCCTCACACTAAAAAATCGCAATTTTTTTTACTTATTTTCTTCCTTACTTTTCCTGTCCTGATGAATGAAAGATCCCTCGCAGATAGAATTAAAAAGGGTCAAATAAAATGCATGCTTATGCTAAGGGCCGAGGAAGAAATTAAAAAATGTGGAGAGAATCATACTTTTCAGCATGTCACCCACCAAGTTGACAGATGAAGATAATCGAATAACTCTGCTGCTACGTAGTGTTTACACTGTTCAATATCGATTTTCCGGGTCCCTTTGATTTATGAACGCAACGATGGAGTGGATCGAAAACAAAATACAGTTTTTTCTGTATTTTCGAAAGGAATTTGCGAGTGCAAAATTGTTGATATTTAAAACTTTGATTCATTTGTGTCCGGGGAAATTTTGGGTCGAAGGGCCTGTCGGGACCGATCTTTCCGCCCCCCCTCCCTCCACAGTCTTGTACGGATACTCATAAGAGCTCAACATTTGTTACCGTAATTGAAGCATTTGACCCTTTTTACCTTGTTTCCCTGCAAAATAGGGTGGATCCAGCACTTCTTTACCACCTTCCTATCAACTTTAGAGAGTGTAACGAAAATGAAGTGCAGCTATACAATAAAATATTAGAACGTCACGCGTGTGATTATGTAAACTGAGTAAAATATAAGAGTAATCGAAGATTGAACTTTTTTTATGAATAAATTGTGACTGTCCACGGAAAAAGATGCCTTAATCCAGAAAATCTCAAAGCTTATTTTTCAAATCTTATTTTTTAAAGTAAGGAATTAGAACTATTAATGTTTCTTTTATAGTGCTCACATTCTTCCTTTTCCGCCCGATGTGAATTAATTAGAACTATTGAATAGAACTATTAATATTCTAATTGAAATAGAAAAGTCTAATAAATGGTCCAGAATAGTCTTGAATATTATAATCGAATTGAATAGAACTAGTAATATTTAAAAAATGTAACAATCTCAGTCATCAAAAATAAAAAGTTATTGTGTTACAAACATTTTCGAAGAGTTTCATTCTTTATTCTTATTTTTTTAAAGTCAGCGATTCTTCAAGAAAAAATGAAGAGAGAAAATTTTAAAAAAGGCGCATTGCTTTAAATTCTTTTTAAAGAGATTAAAAATTAATATAAGATGGGAAAGAAACAAAAATAAACGTAAAAAAAGTGACAACAGTAACACGCGTATTTCTTTTTTGCTCCAAATTCATCT